TAACTTTAAAACTAGCATTCTGTTCGTGCAGCATAGTTGTTTGAATATTCATGTCATTATATGATTGTTGCTGTAATTTTTAGTTTCTTCACCATTGACGTATGTCTTATATTTGTTCGTATGATATAGTTTTTTATTCACCATGGTCATTATGACTTGGAAGATATCGATTCTTCACTGTGGCCACTTGCATCTCTATATTACCTGTCTGCTCCAGTGAAAAATTTTTGAGTATGTTTGCCTGCTCTTTGGGCCATGGTCCTCTGTTCCTGCACCATTGTATTCTATACCCCTAGCATGGCCATCTCCTAAACCATGTTGCTTAATGCTGTATGTGCACACATCACACTTAAAGACTAACATACCTAAAACTTCTTCATATGCATCACGATTGTCTAAGCATGCACCACATTTGTCACTGGCTACATGAATATCTTACCATGTTCAAAGGCTCTTTGGTCAAATGTTATGATTTTCAGTTTATGCACTACGGTAACTTGAAAATTCACCGAGTTTGTCATAACAAGAAGTTTGGGTTTTTGCTTTCCTGCAGTCCTTGTCTGCACTTGGTTGATGGTCATCTGAGCACATGTTCATTTGATGCGCATTGATATCTGCTAATGTGCTACATTTCTCTGTTAGAGTCCTGTTTTGTAGAAATTTGCTAACTTACTGAGGCTACCTGTTCCAGTGGCATGTTTTTTATTTTTTAATTAAAAAATTTAATTATTGTAAAAAAACATATAACAAATCTTAACCATTTTAAATGTACAGTTTAGTAAAGTATATTCATATTGTTGTGTAATAGTCCAATGGCATGCTTTTGATCATGCAACAATGTCTTTTTTAAATATTTTAATTTTTCATTTACAGTTGGCATATGATACATGTTAGTTTCAGGTGTACAACATAGCGATTAGACATTTGTATAACTTGCAGAGTGAACCCTCAATAAGTCTAGTACCCACCTGACACGATACAAGTTATTACAATATTACTATATTCCCTATGCTGTACTTCACATCCCTGTGACTATTTTTATAACTGATAATTTGTGCTTCTTAACCCCTTTCTCTTTTACACCTTACCCCCCCACCTCCTCCCATTTGGACAAGTACAT